AGTAAATGGTAAAAAAAAAAAAGCTGAGAATATAGATTCCGATTAATGCTTTAATGAATTTCAAATAGGCAGTTTTTTTTTTTTACATGGGCTTATAAGGTATAAGTAACAGTATGTTTTTCAAAAGCTACAGTAAATAGAAATAAGACTAAACTGCTGGATGCTGTGAATAGATTTCTGTGGTGATTCAGTGTTTTTAAGGGAAGGCCTGCCTTGAAATGGATCAGTGAGGTATATATATATATATATATTTATTTATTTATTTTTAAAACCTTGTTTTACAAACCTAAGGATTTGTAAAAACACTGATTAAAAAATCCTGACTAAGTTTATTATAATTCATGCAGAGAGGGTTAATTTACCCAAATTTCAAACACCTGCTCAGAAAAGGGTTTATTTACCATTTTATTACGGTTTTAAAAACTAATTTTAAACCTATTCCTGTTTCTTATTTGAACATTAATTTACAATCTAGAACTTGTGTCAAATTTTATTGGAGTGAATACAAAAATCCCATGGAAATAAATTATCAAAAGCTTTTGCAGCTTATAAAAGGTTCCACATAAAATGTTTTTTTCAGCCTTTTAAAAGTTTCTTTAATGGACTCTTTTTAAACTCAATTTCATATTTCTTCCAATATTTATAAATAAAAAAGAAAGAAGTTAGAACTTATTTGTCCTTACTTTAATCTAAACTACAGAAATTATCGAGAAATAAGTAAAAAATTATTAAATTAAGTGTATTTACACTTAATTTTAGTTGGTAAATAAGATGATTTGCCAATGGAATGAGTATTTTTACTCTTAGAATGAGATAATTAGATATATACACTTAAAATAAGACAATGCAATTGTTTTTTTTCTTTCTTATTTTAAATGTAAACTGTCTTGTTTCATTAGCAAACTGTGTTCTCAGTGCATTGAACGGCAGGATGGTGCTTTAAGAGTGTGGATATTAGCCAGTCATGCAGCATCTTATTAAAGATCCTCTGAGGTGCCTTTCAGCTGTGTTTGTATTTATATCTGTAATATAATAACTGCGACCAAAGCTGTTTTCTAGACTTCTCTTTATAAGGTTATTTTTAGCCTCTGCTTGAGGGGAACCATCCGTCTTGCGGCTTCATGGTAATTGATCAACATGACATACTGTACATCTTTGGCAATTAATTAAACATACAACAGCAGAACATGCCCTTAAAATAAACTCATACACAGCAGTGAAATATGTTTTTCTTTGCATATGATGTGGTTTACTGTTGGCCTTAAAAATAGATAACAGTAAAACACAGGGTAAAAACATCAAACATTAAAAACAAAATAAGAGGCATTCCGTTGTACCTTGAAAATAAGAAAACAACAAATAAATAAAATAACACTGTTACCCTTAAAGCAGAGACGTTGTATCTTGTCATGACATCTCTTTTGGTCCAACACTATTGGTCCCATGACACATGCACTATTTGGCACAAGAGTGCAACAATAGATGCACAAATACTTTAATGTGGTTATGGTAATTGAATTGAAAGAAATTGTCATAATTTCACAATATGTAGACCTATGCTACACTTAAATACCTTAGCTTACATAACATTAAGGTAGCAGTTAAGGCTATGGTATCTATTAATTAATAAAATTAATTGTGATTAATGGATTATTGAAATAATCGTCAACTAATGTAGTAATCGATTAATCGTTAACTGGAATGTAGAGACTGTCAGCCTTTAGCTGACAGAGCAACACACTTAGAGCAGTAATTATATGAAAATTGTAAAAAAAAAAAAAAACATTTTGCATTTAAGATTAAAAAAAAAAAACTTTTGCCTGTCCATATGCTCTATCCAGAACTCCTTAAGGGGAAAGGTTTGAGTTTCAACTGGTTTAAATTCATTAAAAGTCTTCTTTAAGGACGTTTTGGCTATCTGATTATTAATCGCAAAAATAATCAACAGATTAAGGGATTTGCTAAATAATCGTTAGTAGCAGCCCTAGTTGTAACACTGTCATCTCTTCAAAATATTTTGAAAAAAAAAGTTTGCATGTAACACATTCAAAGACAAATAGTTCAAAATTATTACATTTTATTCAGTAAAGGTTAATTAAAAGCACATGTTTATATCAAATATCATGTAAAATTGCCCTACAAAAAGTAAAAACTAACTAATGAACAAAGTTCATTTTTACAAGGAGTCCAATGCAGATGCATCGAGTCATAGACTTACAGCATTCACTTCTACATAAGCATGTAGCACAAGTAGACAGCCACTTGCATTTTTCTATAATATTTGCATTTAAATTTATTAATTCATTAACAGTGATGTTAAAAGTTAAAAGATAAGATAAAAGGTAGCCAATATGACTCTTTTTAAAGCAGTATAGACTTAGCCATAGTACTGTTCAGTTAGCTGTCACCTGGCCTTGCATGCGGCTAGTTCATACAATGCAGTATAAACAGCTCACAAACACCCTCTGCTAATAATATGTTGTTACTGTACCTTTGACACCAACAGACAATAGGTGTGTGTGTGACAATGCAATGAGGCGTAGAGCCAGATTTTTGAACTAGTTGTGCAACATTCTCTCTCGTCTGATTGTAGTGTATTTAAACTTACATTCCTCTGTCAGTCAGCGACGAAGAAACACACAGAGTTAACAGTGTTCTGATGCCTTTAGCTGCATGCTCAGGCAGAGCGTTTAACCTGAGGGCCACCATTGCATAGACCTCATTAGACTGGCCCACAGAGCGTACAAAAAGAGTCTGGCTCTAAAGCCAGGTGTCAGCCGGTCATTAGTCTGTCGTTTGACCCACAGGGCACCTGGAAATATTCTGGAGCTGGATACACTGGCGGCGAGGAACACTGAGACCATCCCCACTTTATTTTCTTGTCACTGGACCGCAGACAGAATCACTAATCACGCTCAGCTGACTTTTGCACAGACGGAAAATTGTGCTTCTGTCTCGCCTTCGGGCCCATTAATCAAGTGACTATAGAGGGTGTGTTTGGCTGCACATGTCTCAGAAGTGCAACTAGCTGTTTGCCTCCTTTTTTCTTTCTGTTCATTGATTAGACATCATCAGTTGATGTCTAGTCCTGAACAAAAGACTGCAAACTATTTTTAGATCACTACCAGGTGTAGTTTCCTGCAGCTGGGGCAGGATTACAGCACCTACAGTGTCTCTGTCTAAGGTTTGTAATATAGATGTGTCACCATGTTAAGACAATGGAACTCTTTGAAAACATCTGCAATTTTAAATGGGGCTAATCTATTGCTGCATTTCTATTAGACTGAAGTATTTTCAATGCAACTACACATTTAGCGTATCAGCAATTTCTATCCCCATTTTGTAAAATCTTGCACTCATATCCCCCAAATTAACTTCAACTTGGTACCAGTAACCAAACCATTATGTTCCCATATACCCTTTTATATAAGGTTATTTAGATAGATAAATAATAAATTAAATGTTTTTTTTCCTGAAGCTTTTATATTATTTGCTGATGAGTGGAATCCTGACCAGACAAAATGCATAAAACTTAAAGTGAGTAATTGGTTGTTTTCCTGCAATTTTCTTAATATAATGGCATTACCCGTTTAATATTCTAGCTAATCCTTAGTAAAATGTGGTTGATATTATATAATTTTAAATTCTAACTAACCGTTGTACAATATACAAAGGTACATTTTTACACCACTACTTCAATAAATGAGTCGCTAATTGCTATCATGCAATTTCAGTGCTTTTTGAAAATTATCAAAGACAAGGCAAGTTTATTTGTATAGCACAATTCAGTACAAATACAATTCAAAGTGCTTTACATGAATTACACTGTAAAATAGAAGAAAGATAAAATTAAGTAAAGATTAAAAAAAACATTATAAAAGCTTATGACAACTCAGTTAACAGGTTAAGCTTAACAGTAAAGTGCAGATCTAAACAAATGGGTTTTTAACTTGGACTTAGAAGAACTTTTACCGTCTTCTCTAAGTTTATTCCAGATAATCAGAAAATAAGAAACTGAATGCTTGTTCCCAGAACTAGGTGTATAGAGTTTGCCTTTTTAAGTTATATATATATATATACCGGATATCAGCACCATTTATAGAAAATTACTATTTTAATCTACTTTTATCTGTATTATTTGACCGAACTGACTCGGTAAAATTACTTGAGAGAATGTGTTGTGAATTGGCACTATACCAACAAACTGAATTGAGTTTAATTTAATTAAATTTGTTATATTTTATGTTTTGTTTAGTTTTTTTACATCCACCAAGAAGTTTTTAGGATATTTTGTTTGTGTACACTGTATTTGTCTGTCTGTCTGTGTACAGGATAAGGATTTGAATGAAATTTGTATCAGAGGCGTCCCGCTGGTCAAGGAACAATCCATTGAATGTATTTGATGATCCACATCATGATCTGGATACAGGATTTAAAAAAAAAAGATTCTCTAATGCTGTGTGCTGTGAGATAGGGATATTTGGCAGAACTTATGAATGGATTTTATGGACATGTTTTTACCAAAGGTGCTCCTTAAAGAACCATTCATTTAATTTGGTAGTGATCCAGATAATGTGCATAGTTTGGCTATAGGTGTAATTCTAAATTTGGGGCAAAATCGCTGCTTGCTGAAGGTCTTCTCTCTCCAACTGGTTTTCTATTTTATTAATGTTTTTTTTTTTAGTTTAGATTCTTTTGAAATATTTGTTGTGCTAATGTGGAATAAATAATAAAATGAATATAAAGGAGCTAATAATTATTTCAGACAGGTTGTAAGCCTGTTTTTAGTTAAAACAATAAGTGAGAAAGGACTAAAAGTTGAGCTGACGCAGAGCAGGATACAGGAGGAAGTAGTCTTCATATTGCTGTTACCATAATTTATACATAAACCCCTAAATTACTATGTGTGAAAAGTGAACCTAGGCAGTTATTGATTTTGTTGTTCATTATCAAAAGTGAACATTCAGGTTAAGGTGTTGTGTATGTTCTTTATTTCACAGATGAATTCAACCCTTTTGTTCCGAAACTGGAGAAGAGTGTTAGCGGAAGCAGTCCATCCAGAGATCGACTTCTCCTCACCATGACGATGCTCTTTCTTGCTGCCCTCTTCATCTCCTAGCAGCAGGTGTCCCGTCAGCATCACCATGCCTTTTGGAGGGGACTATTCCCTGTCTCCGTGCAGGGGGGTAGGGTCAGAGGAAAAACAGAGAGGGCATACAAGGGCAGGAGGGAAGAGAGATTTTTTTTTTTAATATACATTTTTCAATTTTCAACGTGGAGATGAGTTTGTTTGTACCATTGTTTTTTTTTTTCTTTTTTTTTTTCCTCAAAGTGATTAAGGAAAGACATCCAGGGACTCAGTGACACACACCGAACTGTTGAGTTGTGTTAAACTGAGCCTGTTTACACGGGCACAGGTGCCGTTGACTGTGTTTTGTTTCTGTTTGCGTCTGCTTACCTGTGTGTCTGAGCAGACTGCAGGGTGAGCTTGTTGAGTCACGCTCACCCCTCCAAGCATTTATACAATGAAGAGAGTCAGGGCTAAAACTTGAACTTTCAAAGAAAAAAACTCCTACCACCCAATAAAAAAATGATTCAGATGCTTTTTTTTTTCTTTTTTTTTTTTTTTTAAATCTGATTGGCTAAAACACTTTCTTAGGACTAGTTGCTACAATTTCTTGCACCAAGACTGAACAGATTAGATTTCAGTAGACTGAACTGATATTGCCTTTTCTCCTTCTGGATGCTGGGAGCTTGAACTAGTCAACAAAGGAACAAGTAAATAACCCAGAAAAGAATGTGCTTAATCTGGTTAGGAAACTAGAGAGAGTAGCTAATTCTTTCTAGACACCCAGGAAACATCACTGGGTTCAAGATGCAAGCATTTCATCCACCATGTCCTACTATGGTTTGGTCTGATCAATCTGTAGAAGGGCAAAGGTGAAAATAGAGAGCATTTAAATGATGACATTTTACTATGTTGTAACTTTTTGTGGAAACAAAAAAAAAATTAAATGTGCCATTTTAAGAATTTGCAAGGGTTTGTAGATGTTTTAGGTTTCTGAGTTATATATATATATATATATATATATATATATATATATATATATATATATATATATATATTTTTTTTTTTTTTTTTTTTTTTTCAGTTTTTTTCAGTTTTTTCCATTTAATTACTCAGTTATTCTTCTGACATCTTTGAATTTAAAGCAAATGAAGACAGCGGAGCAGCCATTCAGCAATACTACCCATCCTCACAACAGACTGCTCAGAAGGGAACAGGCAGAGCTGGGGAAGGACAATCCATCACACATCCACAAGCATCTTCTATAAGCTCCGTCCTGGTTCCTGTAAACCTTTGTGTCTGATGCCACATGTTCACAGTTTTATAATGTTCTGAGTTTTTTCTGAGTGATAACTATGTTTTGCAGTTAAAATAAGTGTTTAAAATGGTACTATTAGCCTGATCATTTATCCACATACCGTTGTGTTAAAAGTATGGCAAATAACAAAAAAAAAAAAAAAAACACGTCATGGAAACAAACAAAAATATTTGGTGAGGTGATACAGCAATTCAAATGCATTATTTAGTTGCTTCAGCATAGCATTTCAGTAGCTTCTAGCACCTTATTTATTGTGTTTTCCCATCCATGGCAACCTCTCATAGGGAATGGCTCAGTGGAGTAACTGATAACACGGATGGTTGTGATGATTATACTGTTGATTAAAATGATGATGACGATGGACTGGGAGCTGATGGCTGGCCTCAAGGTCACTTAGCAGCTCACCCACCGGCACATGAGACGTTCAAGTACTCGTGTAAATGTCACAGCAGACATAGAATGGATTTTACAGTTTTGAAATCTTCAAAAGTTAGCAAGTTTTATCAACTTAAACGTTTATTTTTTTGTGTTTTTTATGGTTTATCATTCCTCTCTTGTTGACTTTTGCCATACAGATGTAACCAAATATTAACACTGTATAAAAATGTGCATCTTTTTTTTTATTATTTGTTTTTCTCACTGTCTGACATACAATTAGAAAAGGTGCTCCTGTTCTACCTTACTCTGGACAAGTACAATTATTTCTATTTATTATATACCATAATAATTAAAATTAGCTGGTCTTTTTTTTTTTTAAGCATTTTTATTTGTTCTTTAAAGCCAGAAACCCAAAAACATTTCATCAGTATTTGGTAAAATAGCTTTTTAAACTTAATAATCCAGATATAGAGATTTTGTGCATCTTTTTTTAAAGCTTTTTAGAATAATCAGTTCAAATATTGATTAATTCCTCTGGAACAGGTGGAACTTGTTCTGGTTTGTAGACTTGCACAGATTTACAGATCAGCCCCAAAATGTTTGATTCCTGCTTCAGAATATTTACTTTGGAGTTTTGGATCATGGCTCCTTCCTTTTTTAGTGACCTTGGTAGCTGATGCAGCCTGTATTTTCACAAGGTATGTTTTTGCTCTGGAGTGAATTTGCAATTTTTTAAAGGAAAACATGCATCTCTTGGACACAAAATCCATATGCTTTCTGTAAAGTATGCCTGCGTGTAACTGTTTGATCAGATGAGTGTGACACCTTTAGGCAGTTGGAAATCGGAGGTTTAACCTGATGTACTTTATGTTATCTCAGTGGGTTTTGAGTTTTCTAAAGATTTTTTCACAATGTACAACAAACACTGTGTTTAAGGTGTCATCTCAAATACATCCACAATTTCTTTTGCAGATTTAACAAATTACAATCTGTTTGATTGTAATTTATTAAATGGATTTATTGTCAGACAGTAAGAAAAAAAAGATTGTCTTTTTATTCAGTGTATGTAAATATTTGGCTTCAAATGTATATTTTGGTTATCGTAAGGGGATGATCTGAAGGTAAGAATTTGAAATTATTAAAAGTAGGGAGAGCCATATGTAAATGTGGGCTGCTGTATATCTTTTTAACTGGTTACTGTAAAACATTTTGAGATTTTTTTTTTTTTATGTCTGCATGTGCTTTCTTTTCATTACATATCGTTTAACATTTTATACCTTTGTCATCTGAGTGAACACACCATTAGAAGTGCTTGTAGATCTCATTTACTACCCTTTCTAGTGATGTCCTGATGGTCAATGTTTAAGTTTTGCATATTTGGTGTTAGTTAGGTGTTTAATAATGAAGTCAAAGGAAGCACCAAGATGACTGCTACCACATGTTGTGAGTATCTAACAGGTATTGGACAGTTTTCCTTCTGAAATTTAGGTTACTTTTTACAACAGTTATTTGGGTATAAACTAATCATTTTGTGCAGGATATTTCCCATTGACCATAATTTTTTTTGTAGATTTTTTAGACGCTTTGACAATAAATCTTAAGATAATTTTCTACATTTTGCTCAAGTACTTTAGATATTTGATCCTAGTAAAGAGTGGTGTTGGTTAGACCGGGGGTCATATTCTCTTATAGAGTCAACCATAATCAATGAAAATAATTTGCAATACAAAAGACAGAAAATCATAGTTTGGGACTTTTCTATATATTTAAAAAATTAATTGGAAATTTCAAGTATAAATAAAAAATAACTCACAAGCAGTTGTTTAATTACCTGAAAAAATAGATTAGGCAATCTCAGGGGATACGAACCTGACAAGGAGCTAATTGGCGCCAATTTTACTGAGATTATAAGATGAAGAGGTCAGCCATCATTAGGGAAACCCTTTCTGCAAGGCTGCCCTTTTAAGAAACTATGAAAAGAAAATGTCATCAAGACAAAAATACATTAACTTTGTCTTTTAAATCCACGTTTTGTGCAAACAGTTTCCAATTTATAGTCGAAACCTTTTGTTAATTGACTGGATTTTATTGTATTATTTTAATTATATACTTTGCTAGATCTCCAAAGATTTTAAAGGCAAATGCTAATCAAACTACAGAAATTCAAACCTAACTAAATACATTGATTGGCCTTTATCAGTCTTGAAAGTCATGAAAATAAAAAAAAATCTTTTTTTTCTTTGTTTGCTTTATAAAGTTACACTTCCTACACTTGATAACCTGAAGTGTTCCTTTGAAATAAATACAATTAAAAAAAGAACTTTAAATTCAAAAGTGTCTCAGAGTTACAAATTAGTAAGGCAATACTTAAACAAAACAAGCAAACATTCAGTTAATATAAATAATTGAAGGGAGATAAAGATTTAGAACAAACCTGAAAGTTGTTATAAAGTTAATTCAATCTTATATGATAAGATACGTATCTCCTTAAATGGTTAAACCAAGAAACATGGTTTATGTAAGGACTGTATGTTTAACTCCACAAGTCCAAATGGCTAAAAGTGACCACTTTTAGCCATTTGGACTTGTGGATATTTCCCCATATCCACATTAAAAGCAACAATTTAAAACATTTAGAAGAGCAAAGGGTAGCATAAAAAGCCAGATAACCACCCATGTTTATTTTTCCAACATGCACAACGAGAACAAAATAATGTAGATAATTAATATATATATATAATAATATATATGATAAAAAGATCAATTTTAAAGAAGTGCAGATTTCAGTCTACAGTTAGTAATTGTTTCATTAAAGAGTTCTCATGCATTCATTGTTTTTGTTTGAATGTTGGGTAAATAGCCCCAGTTATTTGGAGCTTCTACAGGTACTTTTTTATTCTATCCTTAATTTATTGCATAACTGTGCGCGCTTGTAGTTAAAGGGTTGATTATTTTCTTAAAGGATATCATCTAAAATCTTGCAGTTCCTGCTGTCAAACAGTGTGTGAGCAACGAAAGTATAGAAATGTAATCTTGTCAGACAGACAAGAGATTGTGCCTATTCTATCAAATAAGAGACTTTATCATTGTCATGTGATCAAGCCCAGGTGTACATGTGGCTCTAAGTGGGGGTGGGGGGGGTATGAAAGGTCAGGGGTCAAAGGGTCGAGGATCAGGTGGAAAGAGCAAATCACTTTGAGAAGTTGCACTTACAAACTTAATACATGAGAGCAAGAGAATGAATGAGTGAGACGCAGAGCTAATTTCTGTTCATATCTGTGTGAGGTGTGCGTGTGTGTGTGTTTGCGTGCTAATGAATGAACAAATAAAAGAGCGTGTGAGTCGCTCTGTTTTTATTCCTTCGCTGTAAGTGGGAATGTGACCAACTGTCTGACAAAAAAGCATTTAGCGTTGGAAACAACATTTTACAATCATGTTTACCTTCGACTGGAATGACTTTAAATGAACTTGAAAAATACAATGTAAAGCTGAACAAACCATAACAAAGGTTTTAATGATTATCAAGATAACAAAATAATACGCTTAAAAATGTTACTTTTAACAAGCTGTGTGTTTGTGTCTTTTTTTCTCTTACTTCTTAGTCCCACATCTCCTTCCCAACCTATCAGAACTGATCCGAATAGGAAAACCATGAATAAGGTTGAAGCTAATCTTAACTATCAAATTCATTTTTCTGTTGATAATGTTTCCATAAAGAGATTTTTATTTTTTATATCCAATCTACATCCCCTGAACAATAATGACTATCCTTTAAATAGGGAAGATGGAGCACATGCACTGGATGATGAAGGTATAAAGCTGCAATCTGTTCATATGCAACAGATTTAACAAGAAGGTGGAAAGCAAGGGTGTAATTTGTAAAAACAAAACCTTATTCATTTATAAAACTATCTTGCATTATGATTGCCTTGTTTTCCTTTAACAGCAAAGTAGCGCATTTAATACTTTTACTAATCCAGTGGTCACCGGGGAAGGAAGCAAAAAACTTCTTTAAAATACTCAGAGATGATTGGACTCGCATCTTTGTTTATATATCAAACATACAGTAACTCTGTCTGCTTACTGTCCATGCAAATGCCCTCATCCCAGGGGAAGGATGCAACACTTCTAAGGGGCAGTTTAAAAGTGTATTTAGTTTTAAAAAGCCACTTTTTTAGTCTTAATAAGCGTATTATCCTGAGAATTTGTATTGTATACAAAAATGTATTAATGAAAAAACTGCAACATTGAGCTCTCTGAAAAATGCACATACGCAGACATCCCAAAAGAAAACAATGACATG